GGACACCGCAGTGGAAGGTACCCGGCCAAAATTTATTTGCGCAAAAGGCAATCCCCAACCTGTACTCGACTGTGCAAAAGGAAGTAATGGCATGTGTGGCACACAGTGTTGGGGCAAGGGTCCATCTGACCACTGATACCTGGTCTGCAAAGCAGTGTGTACTTTATAAATGGCTCCACCTGCCACCCTTACAGCAACACAGTCTCCAGTTAGGAGGACCGACCAAGCATCTTCTTCCATCTGCCTGTTCCAGAAATTACTGCCGTGTACACGACCACTGATAGGAGACGCGGAAGGTATTAAACTGATAAAAATAGTACTAAACACACCACTCCTATCTGGTGTCACATTAGTTCTGTGTCAGTGTGTATCATGGTCTCTGAGGATGGGGAACAGTCTCTATTCTGCTCTTGCATTTCTATTTCTTCTTAGATAACGAAAAAATTCTGAGAAGACGTTGTCAGGGCTATTCACTTGTGTGATCTGTCATGAATTGTCATTTGAATGTTATTTTGAACTGTGGGGCACAAGAACTTGAATCTGACAAAATGGCTGCCATATACACGTCCACTGACAGGAGACGCGGAAGGTGTTAAACTGATCAGAACAATACTAAACACACCACTCCTTTTTTTTTGGTGAGGCTTTACAGGACAGAGTGCTTCTCCACGGGACATGTTAACTCACGGGCAGCTGGCTCATCAAGGAACCAGAGCAGCTTTCCATGTACAGGTAAGACACGTGCAGCCGGTAAGGGTTCAGGCTCTTCTTCCTGGAGGATACGCTGCAAGCCTGTTGAGCGAGGTGACCTTGCTCGGGTCCCAGGTGTACGGTTCCTAAAATGGCTGCCTTATACACGTCCACTGATAGGAGACGCGGAAGGTATTAAACTGATCAGAACAATACTAAACACACCACAAATAAGGTTTCTCTCCTGTATGGCTCCTCAAATGATGCTTAAGATTAGAAGCGGCTGAAAAGAATTTCTCACACTCCGAACAAAAATATATTTTTTTAACATTCTCTCCACTTTGAACGAAATGACGTTTGGGAAGAGATTAACATAATTAAACACAGGCAGTAAAAATACAGTTTTAGCCATACCCTGTAACTTTAAAACTACACATCCCATCTTCATAATTACATATTTGGAATCAGCAAACTTAAAACATAAACATAACCAAAAATCAGCCAAATACATCCAGGGGTTAAAAAGTTAGCTGGAGGTCCCTTTATGACCGACCGCAAGCACATTTTCCTGCCCAAAACAGTTCCAAAGATTGGGGCTGTGCGGTCGGTCTATTTCAGGCCGAATGGGACATAGACTTAGTCTCTGCAGCTGAAATAAGGCTGAAAAAAACGGCTGAAAAAAAGACTAAGTCCCATCGCCAAATGGGACTTATTCTCTGCAGCTGTAAAACCAGTAGGGGAGAAGGTAGAGCTCAGTGGTGTTCGCGGAAATGTGTAGCCGATTTTAGTTCCATGAATTTGGCTACACATACCGCTGACCTCGTCGAATGATCAAAGATGGCCGCCGCCACGTGTTCGGCAAACGAACAAAGACCTCCCAGCATTGTCAATTAAGCTGCGGTTAACCGCAGCTTCTGGGAGGTAAATTGCCTGCACACTTCCACTTCTGGGTGATCTGCCTGTGTGGTACTTGGTTCAGTAAGCCCCATTTACTGAACCAAGTGGGAAAATAGCCAGGCAGGCACAAAGGGTTTGCACCAGGTCTGGGGACACAGGGGACACCGTCTTAAAGGGGCAGTGTCCCCAACAAGTCTGGGGACATGGCCTTAAAGGGGCAGTGTCCCAATCTTCCTGATGTCCCAAAAAAGGTGTTTAAAGGGCCAGCACCAGTCACATAAAGAGTCCATAAGCCCCAATATGCCCACTGACAGTCTTAAAGGGCCATACACACCAAATAAAAGTGCATACATTTTCACAATCTCCCAGGGGCCATAGTCATGCGGGAGGAGGCTGGCAAATAGGCTTCTCCACAACCCAGGGAAGCAGGGCAATTTGCCATTTAAAGGGCCCGTTACAAATAGCAGTTTGTAACAAGGTGTCAATCCATATCTGCCAAGTGACCCGATGTAGGGGGAACAGTCCCTATTCTGCTCTGTGTCAGTGTGTATCATGGTCTCTGAGGACAGGTGTCAATCCATATCTGCCAAGTGACCCTATGTAGGGGGACCAGTCTCTATTCTGCTCTGTGTCAGTGTGCATCAGGGGCTCTGAGGACAGGTGTCAATCCATATGTCAAGGTGTCAATATGTCATATGTCAGGTGTCAATCCATTCATTGTTGATTTAGGAATGTTAGGTGATTTCTGCCCTTTATGGATTAAAACCAGACTCTGCATCAACTGTGTAATTTTCCATGGGAGTTTTGCCATGGATCCCCCTCCGGCATGCCACAGTCCAGGTGTTAGTCCCCTTGAAACAACTTTTCCATCCCTATTGTGGCCAGAAAGAGTCCCTGTGTGTTTTAAAATTCGCCTGCCCATTGAAGTCTATGGTTCGCCCGGTTCGCCGGTTCGCAAACATTTGCGGAAGTTCGCGTTCGACGTTCTCGAACCGAAAATTTCATGTTCGCGACATCACTAGTTTTTAATAATTTTTTGAAGGAGTGGAGACTGGGTGAGCATCTAACGGAGGAGGGAAGCGAGTTCCACAGGAACGGTGCAGCCCTCGAGAAATCTTGAAGGCGAGCATCAGAGGTGGGAGTACGGACAGAAGATAGACGTAAGTCTTCAGCAGATCGTAAGGGCCTAGACGGGACATACTTGTGTATAAGGGAGGATAGATAGGTGGGAGCAGCATTATGTAGAGATTTGAAAGCAAGAACCAGAATTTTAAATTGAGCTCTATATTTTATAGGAAGCCAATGTAGGGACTGACAGAAGGGTGAGGCATGGGAGGTGTGGGCGGACAGGAAGATGAGCCTCGCCGCCGCATTCATTATGGACTGTAACGGTGCTAGTTGGGAGCATGTAAGATTACAGTAGTCAAGGCGAGAAAGGATAGTGGAATGGACCAACATCTTAGTCGCATCTGGCGTTAAGTAGGGGCAGATGCACGCAATGTTTTTGAGATGGAAATGACAGGATTTGGCAATAGATTGAACATGAGGCTTGAAGGAGAGGTCATGGAGCCAAAGTCTTTCCCATAATCTTTCATTATAAGAATGGACTCCGTGGCATAGCTATCTGGGGTATCACTGCTCAAACAGGGCAAGCACCGAATGACCCGGCTTTCGTGTCTTTGCAGGGGAAAATCAAGCGTTTCAACATGGGGCCATAGTCTAAAGGCAGCAGGTGGGCAACCAGGCTCCTCCAATGCACAGTGGCGAGATTGGTCTTGTCACAAGTCCCAACCTCTATCTTGTTTGAGGGCACAGTTTGGGTGTAAGCAATGTTGATCCACAGACCAGAAGCGATGTATGGGTCAAAATGACACATCACTTCCGGTCTGTGTATTATTTGCCTAAACCCATACTGTGCCCTCAAAGGAGATCATCTTAAATTATGGATTTTGCAAGTAATAACCAAAGGCTTCAGATCTACCACTGAAAGCTGTATTCATCAAAACTTCGGGGCGTCTTCAGTCCTGGAACTCAGGTGCAGTAACAGCTCTCTCTTACAAGCACAATCCACTGAGATCCTGAGGTTGAGCACAGGATTCTGTCGGGTCAGTGACAGCACAGGGGCTTTAATAAAAATAACAGAAACATCAAAGGCAAAGGTATCCAATAAGGATCAGGCTGAAATCTGAGTCAGACAGATTAGAGGTCATGGCGCGCGGCAATCAGCAAAATTCAGAGTGCAGACAAAGTCAGGAAACCAGAAGGACAGGAAACACAGGGAAACAAAAACTAGGAGTTCTGAGGTAGGCATCAAAACAGCCAAGCACTGACTGTAACATTGTAAAGTGCTACAGAATTTGTTGGCGCTATATAATGTGGTGACATTCTGTCATCAAACTAATATGGTGACCAGGGATCATGTGACCAAGCTCATGTATGCCTTTCTTACAGTGGGATAAGCTTTACCTTTTGATATGGTAATTGGGTAATTCAATACCTTTACAAGTCAGGAAAGAGGTAACCACTTCCCCCTATCTCAATTCCTCCCTGTTCCTTCTTGGCTGTGCTACTGAGCAGTCCCTTAAGCAGACATGGCCTAATTTCTACCATGGTGAACTGTGAGTGGGATTTTATAAGATGTAGTTGTTATTGTTAGTTAGGTTGTTGTTGGTGGTATAGTTAGTTAGATTGTGTGTCATTATTTGTATGTTGTTGTTTTGTCTCTGAATAAATATTTGTTAAAGTAGACGGACCAGAGTTTATATGTGTATGCGTACATAATAATTTATAGAGTTTGGTAATTTACCACATATAAATGCCAATAATAATAATACAAAGAGAGGAGTGGCTAAATTACATAACCTGGTCTCACCTGTAGGAGGGGTTACCTGAGATCAGTGTGACTGACTGTGGGACTCATCCCTATCTTGGATGCATCATTGTCCTGGTTCTGCCCCTCAGCCACACATCTGACCTGCAGACCAGTCTTTTCGTGCAACGGTTGCCATCTTGGAATGCCCGAACAATCACTGGGGGTCAAAACAAAGTACACCTGGAGCAAAGCCTGACTGCCAAGCCGACAGGACACGTGCTGAGCGGGCTCCTGACTTCTTGTATGGTTTTCCAGGTTCAATCCTGGTCAGTTACCCATGGTCTTCTCCATCAGGTGCTTCCTGCATGGGGGATGCTCTGGTGCACACAAGGAATCTGCACCTGTGAGGCTTGGCAGTCGGGAACTGAAGGAGTTTACTCTCAGCCGTCACGCATCTGAGGTGGGAGAAACAGTCGCTCTCCTTGCTCTAATTCTGTGGGGGTCATCCTGGTCCCCAGCTGGACTGAGCAACTTTGATCCTCTAAGCCACTAAGGTTCCCTCTTGAAAATAGCTTGCTGGCGAGTATTGTCAGTTCCCAAGATGGTGGACGCACTTGCTCCTGTAACTCAAGGCAGAAAGCGGAACCAAACAGACATGCTGGGCCTACACAACCAAATTATGACTAATCTAGAGGCAGCTTTTGATCACCTTTGGGCAACCCTACAGGAATGCACAAAGCTACTGGACAAAGCATCTTCCCCCGGGCAACACAAAGAGTGCCCTGTGAAGCACCTCATGTGCGAATCACCACCAAAGGCTGTACCCATTCTTACCTTTGGCCTCCCTGGTTATGACCCCAATGCACCAACCACACAAGCGGAGGGCTACAAGACACAAGCGACAACATATTTGTCAAAACGATTGACAAAAAACAAAACAAAGTCCACCACCAGTTCCCCTAAATGGAACCCTGAAATAATTGATCGCTAGATATGTATACTACCTAGTGCTGAAAAAATAATTCCATCCAAGTGAATATAAAAATAATTAGATGAACTCTTAGAACATAGATTATAAGCACTCTGTACAGGCTCAAATCACATAAACAGCAGTGTACTATGGTGACTTTTTCTATCTTCTGGTATTCCTCCAGTGAGCTCAAATAAAAACCTAGTGTATTATAGCTAAAATACAAGTATTTGAACAAAAAACCTGGCTCTGGGTACAAACACTGAGAGCCAGCAACAAACCTGTATTTCAGTAAGCCGATACATTCCAAGCACAAGGATTTGAACACTCCAGTGCAGATTCATTTATTTTTAAAAATATCCACAGGCTTGTAGTCCATCCCAGGTGTGTTTTGCCACACCAGTAGACTTTATCAATACCTGTGGTTGGACTTCCCACCTAATATTCCCTTTAAACAGAGGGCTTTGATCTTCCACGTTCTCCTAGCTACTAAATCCCTAGTAACGATAAACTGGAAAAGTACAGAATGCTCCACCAAAGCTGAAAATCAGGACAAACATAAACCAAACTAGTAAACTAACTTTGTCAACCCTCGCCTACCCCCAGAAGCAAAAAGTGATTAGCATATGGGCTCCCTAGTGTCGATGGATGCAAAAGTCTCAATCCCCCAAGCAAATTTTGGCCAGCTAACCTTATACAATAGTCAATCCTTTCCTCGGTAGACACAACCTGCTCTCTGGATGTTTACTTATTTGCATTAGTATGCTGTCTTCACTTTAAGTGTACGTCGTATGCCAAATGCCCCCTCCCCCCCCCCCATTTTTGTTACCAATACAATTGCACTTATTTTCCTTGTAATCATTTTTCATCCTCTGTGTACGAAGATTATACACTGGTATGTTATATTTATGCAAAATCTCAATGAAATACAACTTACAAAATAAAAAAAATAAAAAACCCTTTAATGTCAACATTATAAGTCTTTCAAAGTCAGCCCTCTGATCCCTATATTACAAGAAGCTTCGTGTATATGCAACATTATTTAATAATCGCATTGAAATTAATGAGGAATTCAGAAGGATTGCCATTCTTATAACAGCCAATTAAAGTATACAGCTTTAGTTTAGAAAGAAGGTCAAGGACCTACTAAGGTTTAATGCCAAACGTAAAAGCTAGCACATTATTTTTGTGTAAAAACACTGGTTAGCAGTGTCCTTGTAGAATGTATACAAAGCAATGCCATTTTAATCAGGCTATTGCTATAGGCTATTGGGTGGGGGCTACTTTAAATATATATTTTTAAAGATTATCTCTTTTATTAATTTTATCATATGCAACGACAAAAAGACAATAAAATATTATTACTTATATATATATATATATATATATATATATATATATATATATATATATATATATATCCATACTTTACCCTTTTCTTTTTGACATATGTTCTTTGCTCTTTTTTCTTTCTCTTTTTTTCCTTTCTTTTCCTATTTCTTTGCCCCCTTCCACCTTTTCCAACAGGATTAAAAGTCTGAAAATATAAATATCACCTGATTAATCAAACAATCTTTAATGTTCAGTACAAAACCACAGATTAATCATAAACAAATCAACACATCCCTGAGAGAGCAACAAAAGATAATAAAAAAATACCCACCATGCCTATTTAATTAATGATCATATATGCTTGTTAAGGATTTTAATTTGTTTATCCAAAAAACTCATTTATTCTGCTATCTTAGTTTCCAATATTCTGTTTTAATGCAACATTTTTCCATTTTACATGCCAGATAGTTTGCTCAATTAAAGTTAAAAAATTTGAAATAATAAATGTTTTCGAATGCTTTGCTATCATTAATTTTACTGCAGTTAGTATGTAAAATTATAGGAAGAAGAACCTTTTGTATTTTATCTGTCCTTCGATGAAGTAATGCCAATTCTAGACTCTATTACTTTCCCACACAGATCACCTATAAACAGTGGTGGATCTGGGGGGACGCACAATGGGGATTTGCCCCTCCCCCACCGAGAAAATAGTGCAGCTCCCATAGGGGAGCTAACTCATTATGGGGCCCGGTCGGGTGCTGCAGTCCTTTTGCCACTATAATGTTAACAGTCAGTTCCTCCGCACAGACCGCGCAGACTGGAAGGGACAATGAGAGAGGAGGAGGGAGGAGATGGAGCTCTGCAGCTGCAGACTCCCATCATGATCAGCCAGCCCCAGGAAGTCACCTCCCTGCAACCAAAGGGTATGGACGCAGTCCTGCCTGGACTTTAACCTCCCTCCTGCCTGTCTTCCCGCACAGCCCAGCCAGCAGCCCCACTGTACCCCAGGTAAAAAATCCACCCAGCTCTCCCAAAAGGAGGGAGGCTGGATGGATTTAAATAAAATAAAAAAATTATCTGTGAGTGTTGGGGGGGAAATGTGTGTGTGTGTGATGTGCATGTGTCTGGCTGTCAGTGTGTGTGTGTGTCTGTGAGTGTGTGTGTCAATTGTGAGTGTGTGTGTGTCTGTCAGTGTGTCTGTCTGTCAGTGAGTTCCCCTACCCACCTTACAGAACCCCTTCCAACTCACAGCCCCCTTACCCACTCACAGCCCCCCTGCACACTCACAGTCCCCCTACCCACTCACAGTCATCCTATCCACTCACAGTCTCCCTATCCACTCACAGCCCCCTACCCACCTTACAGCCCCCTTACCTACCTTACAGTTCCCCCACTCACATCCTCCTCCCTACTCACAGCCCCCCTACCCACTCACAGCCCTCCTACCCACCTTACAACCCCCTACCCACTTATAGTCCCCCTAACCACCATACAGACCCCCTAACCACTTACAGACCCCCCTACCCACCTCACAGCCCCCTACCTTCTCACATCTCCTACCTTCTCACATTCCCTCTACCTTTTCACAGCCCATCTACCTTCTCACATCTCCTACCTTCTCACATTCCCTCTACCTTTTCACAGCCCATCTACATTCTCACAGCCCCCCACCCTCTCACAGTCCCCCTACCCTCTCACAGACTTCCTACACACACCTTGTCAAAGCCATCCCCACCCTGTCTCCCCACAAAACCATCACAGTCCCTCCCACAATCCCTGTCACAGCCCCCTCACATACCCTGTCACTTCTCTACACACACCCTGTCACCCCCCCATACACGCAGCCTGTCACCTCCCCACACACCCTTTCACCCTCCCAAACACACACACACACTGTCACCCCCACACACACACTATCATCCCCATACACACACTGATACCCCCTCTATACAATATCATCATCCCCAATCACTTTCAGCCCCCACACACTGTCACCCCCAGGTATAGATATGCATACTAGCGTATATATATTTTTTTAGGAGGGGAGGTGGATCTTGAGTGAGTTCCCACACTTTTTTCCCCAGGACTTGACCCCTGGGTAAGGGCCAGTCTTTAACTGCAGAAAGCCTTTAGCAGAGACTAGATAGCTTAGGAATTGAACTTCAGCTTGGTCAAACAGACATTTATTGAGTTTACAGTAGAGACTGGTAACAAGAAGAGTCTTGATATGCATATGATGAGTACGCAGATCAGGTGAATATATCAATATGGTGTCCAGGTACACTATTACAAACATGTGTATGTACTCCCTTAAGACATCTTTGATAAAATCCTGAAACACTGCTGGGGCATTACAGAGACCAAAGGGCCTCACGGTGTACTCATAGTGACCACTCCTGGTGTTAAAGGCAGTCTTCCACTCATGACCCTCTTTAATACGTTCCAGATTGTAGGCACCCCGGAGATCCAGCTTAGTAAATACTGTAGCCTGTTTAAGTCTTTTAAACAATTCCGTTATCAATGAAATGGGATAGGCATTTTTGATTGTGATATTATTAAGACCCCCGTAGTCAATAAACAGTCTTAAATCACCTTCCTTATTAGATACAAAAAAGAAGCCTGCCCTGGCCAAAGAAGAGGATCTCCTGATAAACCCTTTCTGTAATGATTCCTTGATTTACCCCTCCATTACAAGGTTCTGTTGGGGAGACAAAGGATACACTCTCCCATTGGGATATTTAGAACCAGGTAGTAAATCAATCATACAATCATACGGTCTATGGGGTGGTAAATTCTCAGCTTCTTTTTTTGTCAAATACCACTCTTAAAGACATGTACTGAGCAAGTATAACAGTAGAAAAAGGAGGAGCTGTTGGTATGTTAATAACATTTAAAAAGTAACGTTGGTGATACAAGACTCATGACATTTGGTACTCCATGATTCTACATGACTTGACTCCCAGTTAAGAGTGGGATTGTGTAAAAGTTACCAAGGATACCGTAATATGATTTGAGAAAAAGGAGAAGAAATGACCTGGAACTGAATCATTTTGGCATGCAACAACCCTGTAGACATATGCAGTGATTCCGTCTTGTGAGTAATCACTGGGGAACATAATGGTCTACAATCTATGGCCTCAACGGCCAAGGGTGTTTCCTTCTCCCTTAAGGGTATCTTGTATGACTTTACAAAGTTGGAATCAATGAAGTTCTCAGGCACACTGGAGTCAACCAGGGCTAAAACAGTCCTGTTTTTTGGCCGAACGGGACACTCTCTTCGCATGTGGCCTTTTTTACCACAGTAAAGAGAGAGCCCTTTCATCCTCCTATATAGTTTTTCTGCATCATTGAGCTTGGTAACCCCTAATTGCATAGGTTCTACCTTAGGTATCGTGGAAATCTCAGGAACTTCAACCTACAGTAAAGCGTCTATTTCTTTTCCTGGTCTATTGTCTATCACAGATTCTATTGTCTATATCGATGAGGTAGTCAATATGGCTACAGGTAGGTCTCTGGCCGCTACCTCATCCAATATAGCATCTGATAGACCTTCCATAAATGCTGTAACAAGCCCGCTGTTTATCCAGTCTACCTGAGAAGCCAAGGTACGAAACTGGATAGCATAGTCAGCAACCGACCTGGATCCCTGTT